AAAGTGGTTTCTTAGCAATTGTTTCTAATGGTTTGTGGTCCGATTCCAATCTGAAATCTCTCCCATACACGTACATATGAAATTTTTCACATGCAAAAGTGGCTGCCAAAGCTTCCTTTTCTATTTGCGCATAGTTTTGTTCACATGGGGTCAATGCCCTTGAAGCAAATGCAATCGGGTGATTTTCTTGAATTAATGCTGCTCCGATTCCGTCTTTGGACGCATCAGCTGTAACAGTTAACTCCTTGTGTGGATCATAATAACTAAGCACTGGTGTTTCTGTTAATTTTGTCTTGAGAATTTCTGTTGCTTTCTTTTGCGGTTCATCCCAATGCCAACTCGTGTCTTTCTGTAGTAGTTCACGTAGTGGCGCGCTTATTTGAGACAAGTTTGGTATAAATTTGCCAAAATACTGTATCATGCCCATGAATCTCATTAGCGAATGTTTGTCTTGTGGGTGTGGCATTTTGATAATCACCTCCACCTTCGCTGGGTTGGGTTTGACGCCTTGTTGTGTTAGCAGTAGACCCACATACACTACTTCTGTTGACCAACGACGCATTTCGTTCGTTTTAGACGTAATCCAATTTTACGAAGACGATCAAGAACTTTCCGAAGTCTTTTATTGTGTTCTTCCTTTGTTTTTGCATATACTAAGATATCATCTACTGAGTTGCAGCAACCTTCTAGACCTTCTAAATTTTGTGCTAAAATTTCCTGGAAGACTTCTGAGGCACTTGAGATCCCAAATGGAAATCTGTTGAACCTATAACGACCAAAACAGGTGTTGAACGTAGTAAGCTTGGAACTTTCTATGTCCAATTTTATTTTTATTTGTGCACCTGCTAACTTTGCACTGATTTCATCTGCTGTTGGTAATTCGTAGTGTCCACGTTTTATTGCTTGATTAAGTTCTTTAGGATCTAGGCATATCCGTATACTGCCATCTGATTTTTCTACACACACGATTGGATTTACCCAGTCAGTGGGTTCATCCACACTACTAATGATGTCCTGTTGTTGTAATCTGGACAACTCATCCTTGAGATGCGGTTTCAGTGATTCTGGCATTTTTCTAGGAGGATATATGATTGGTACTGCATTTTCTCTCAAGTTAATATGATGATCTGGTGTTTTGAGACATCCAATCCCGTGAAATAGATCTTTATATTCATCAAGAATTGATTGTGATTCACTAGTGGGTTTTGTTTTACACCTAGGTTGTATGTCGTCATTTATGTTGTAAATACGCTTCAGTAGGCCTAAATCTACGCTAGATTTTGCACCTATAATAGCTTCTGTTTTCACATTGGCCACTATGAATTCTACTTTGGTAGTCACATGATTTATACGTAACTTGCAGCATACATTTTCCACAGACTTTGATTTCTGATCCATTATATGTTGATAACTTGATGTTGACCTTGGACAGTGGAGGAGTTTTACGTATTTTACGAAACATGTAGTATGGTATCACATTTGCTTGGGCTCCCGAATCTATTTTAAAAGAGATTTTGTCATGTTTGGGACCAATTGGTAATGTAACATTCCACTGTGAGTCTCCTACATTAATCGGTTCTGACTGTATTGTTCCAATAAAGAGTTGGTCAAGTTGTTGTATTTCATCATATTCGTCATCTTGTTCTACTGTGTGTACTTGCTTTTCACCTTTGGTCGTACTACTGCATTGTTTGTGGTTTGATGATCGGCAAACACGTTGATTCATTTTTACACATCCGTGACATTTTTTTCCATACGCTGGACATTGTTTTGCTGGGTGTTGCATCCCACAATTTCCACAGTTATTATGCTGATCAGAATTTGATGTATGTTTAGACCCTGTCGATTTGTTAGGCCTGGCTGCACGGTGATTGTTTACCCGATTCACATTTACAGCACTAGCACTGTCGCCTGTATTTATCATTGTCTCAAGATGCGACTTTGATAGCTCTGATGCACGGCAAATATCAATAGCTTTGTCTAAATCCAGGTTTCATTCTCTCAACAGTCTCTCTCTTATCTGATTTTACCTAATACCTTGTACTATACGGTCTTTGATCAACGAGTTAGACAGTGGCCCGTATTCATATGTTTTCACTTTGTTTCGTAAATTAACTAGTCAGTAAAATGAAATATATATTCTTGGGACTTACAGTGTATAACTCCGGTGTCGAAGCGACTAGGGGTCGAGGGGTCAGGGTGTTCAACTTGGGGTCGGTCAAGGTGTTCAACTCCAGGGTCGAACTAGACAGGGGTCGAGGTGACTTGATATCCTTCACCTGGACGCCTAATCTAAAAATTAAACATGCGACCTGAAGATGCTAACATGGAATTCTGAGATGCAGCAAGCAATTCTAAAATTTAAACACGCGATCCGACGATGTTAACTTGTAATTCTTAGATGCGAGCAAGTAATTATAAAATTTAAACATGCGATCTGACAATGTAAACATGGAATCCTGGGATGGTCAGTGGCTAATGCCAGCAAATTAAATTTCTAATATTTTCTAAATCAATTTTTTTTTTCGTAATCGATAAATGCCAGACATATGGCGACAACAATTTTATAGTCATCACATGTCAGACTAATATATTTGCCAAATTTATGCCAGGAAGTCACCCAAGTTTGCATCCTGATTTTACAATGTCGACATTGTCGTGACGTTGCACGGGTTGAATGCAATGCTATCTTGCTGCGCGTGGTTCTGAATACAAAGCGTTTTGTCTTCCATGATTGTGTTTTTATCAAAGTTTGACAGATCAAAATGTTTTAAAAAACACTTAATCTGTGTTAGAACTTCATACCACAGAAGAAATCTCCTTACTTTAAAGGTGAATATGACCCGTTAATGCATTTGGACATTAGATAGTTACCTGGATACTGAAGCATGCTCGGCACTCGCACGAAACGGGATCTTTATGGTAATAAATATCTGAGATAAACTATGCATTCAGCTAGTATGCAACAATGTGACAACATTCATTCCAAAAAACAATGTAAACGTGTAATCAATAGATCATTAACTATTAACTACTATAGTGTATCGAATATAGGACTCCTGTTATAATAATGGCATTCTTGACGGATAATACATGACATTAATTAGGTGCCATCGGGCACGTATGCTGCATTGTCTTGTTATTTTCGCAACACAAAATGTTGTCAACACAGACAAATGATTACAAGAAATAAAATGCCAATACGAATGGAGTATAATTTATGTTTAGCAGCAGAGTTACTAGATTAGTTCGGTGTGTACTACATGTTCCAATGCACAAATAAATTACTATATAAATACGACTCGATCAGACTCTGGTGCTGGAACTTTATAATTTCATAGATTATATTTGTACGCATACAACGCTTTGTATTAACATGTAATACCGTTTCAGTTGTAATTTCATGTTCTAAGTGGTGATCTCCGAATAAAAAAAACGTTTAGCAATCAACCATTTTATTGTAAATCATTGAAAAATTCCAATGAGAATTTCTTAAAATTGGGGTTTCCAGTAAGTATCTATTAATGTACATAAAGGTTAGGAATAATGTATTAAATTTATAGAGCATATATAATATGAATAATGAAGCGATATTTTATAGTCGAAGGAAATTCGCAAATTCAAGAACACAAAACAGATATTTGACAATCCACAATCATTCAAACAAACTGACAATCAATGAGGACAAATTCTCTTTAACTTAATGTAATTAACCGCTTGAAATGCGTGTTACTGCTAGCAAATCATTTCGTTTGACACTATACACCCCATTCTTATCCATTCCAAGCAAAGGTTTAAACCAACAAAAAGAGGAAATTGTAAATATACATTATAATCAATTATTAAAATAATCTTCTTTAAAATTTGTTGTTTTTAAAATAATGCAGATACTAATTATATGTTTTTATTTTGCTTAGTCTGTGTTTTGTTACATTTGCAGTCTAATATTTTAAATTATAAATCTGTATTTGCAGGTCATATGGATAGTATATCGCAGGTCAATATTGGCACGAACCAGTTTGAAAATGCTGTAATTAAAAGAAGAAATCTGGCTAAGGTATCAGTAATAAGATTATGTGGGCCGGCTTCAACCAGTTTACCACCATGCATTGACATGCCCGCAGATCTTCGCAAGGTAAATGCCTTCCCAACAAAATAAAATGCCCATGATACGAAATGGATGATCTGGTCAATATATTTGAAAGCTTTTTTTTTTAACTTCAACTAAATCCTTCTTCTTAAATATATTCTTAGATTAGATTAGGCACAACACATTTTCATCTATTTCTAGGAACAAATGCAAGCCGCAAATTATTTCACTGTCGTATTGCCCTAGGCTTAGCAGCAAGGTTCTACAAAACATTTTCAAAACAACAAACAATAATTGGTGGCTTTGAGATAATATGATTACGATAGTTCACTGTCATATTGCAATGGACATACTCTTGTTGTATTCAGGTAGTATGTGCTTCAACACATTTACTGCAAGGCGGAAATGAATACGACGGAACCGAGATAACATCTGTAGATATAGCGGAGGTCAAAGGTTGCATTCAACAGATCAAAGAAAAGGGAATCGAAAACGTGGTAGTCTGTGGAATATTTTCCCCGGTTAATTCAGCTCAAGAATTAGAGGTACATAATAATAATAATAATAATAATAATAATAATAATAATAATAATAATAATAATTCAGCATCACTGAATTATAAACACCCAATTATAAAGTTTGATCGTTATTTTTGAGTCAGTATTGTTTCATACTATATTCGGCAGTCATTTCGTCACATTCTAATCTGTAGGTTGCAGCGATTTTAAAAGAAGAGTACCCTGGCGTCAGTCTGACGTTGTCCCATACAGTGAGTGGCATTGGTTTACTGGAGAGAGAAAATGCAGCAGTATTGAATGAAAGTTTGAAACCGTACTTTTTAAAAACCACCAGTGACTTTGATATAGCCCTGCAGAGTCTTGGTCTTGATTGTTCTCTTTACCTTACGCAGAATGATGGTACAATTCTCAGGTAAAACAGTTCACATTGAATTTAAAAAACAATAATAAACCAAAAATATGGCGAAATTATTCTGCACCTATGATATAATAAGGGTAATAGTTGAGCTGGTATAATTAGCAAATGTGTTATATACTGAAACAAATTAGAATTTTGATATATCAAATATACCAGTGTATACTGGAACAGGAACTGTAGCAGTCATTGAGGAAAATAGAATGATGCTCCGTACAGCGTCCCTTTGTGCGTCGTGTACTATTAAGTATGTTTCTGGGTGGCACAAACAATATACAACCGTTACTTAGTGCAATATCTGTAACCTGTTTTTAAAAATACGCTGTATCAAATATATTCGCAACAAAATAGTTAATGTTTTAGACACCGTTATTCATTTACTGTTGTGTAGACTTGTTTTTAGACTTGTTTGAAAACCGATGGACAGAGATGGCGTAATAACGTTGACTTGCACAAAGTAGATGTGAAGTCACAAAGTAAATGTTCTGCCAACTGCTAACCCCCAGACCGTATTGTCAAATTCATTTCAATGCTTATAGATTATGTCCTACATGAGTTTGTATTGTACACTCGAAAAATGTAATTAATATTGCCGCGGGATTTGTACGTGTGTGATACAACTTTCATGGAATATTGAACGTAATATTTCACGTAGAATGTTCGAAATCGCGTGTGAATCCCAAGAGACATCAAAGAAAACGATTACAGTTTCCTGTCCATGTATTCACTAGTGTCTGATCCTGTATGAAATATATATGTGCATCATTGTAAATAGACAAAAATATTTAAATCAACACTGTATTCACAACATAGTATTATTGTATGTGTATTTCTAGTAACAAACATATCAAATTCTTTCCATTCAGTGCTAAAGATTTTTTAGAATTTCCCGTGCGTACATTTGTATGTGGAACCTCTAACATTGTGAGAGGAGCATCACATTTAGCTTGCATCGAAGATGCTACAGTTATAGACATCGGTGGTACATATACTCATGTGTGTGGTATGGCAGGAGGATTTCCCAGGTTAACTTCATCTATCGTAGAGGTACATTGAAATAAAAAAATATATTCCAATTGAGGTTTGGTTGTGGTAATACCAGCAAACCATATCTTATGAGTTGGAATTAGATACTGGCTAAATAAAACCACTTTAGTAGTTACATTATATCGTATTGTCGATATTATTGTCTGCACGCGATCTGATGCAAGCAGCGGACAATACTTAGCTTAGTTTTGCAGCAGAATTTACATTACTATATGTTCGTGACATTGATCATTTATCTCAAGTATATTATTATAGTTTTTTTTATGAACTATATATATTAATATGTTGTGTATAACAAACACGATATTGTTACTATACGTTGATGTTCCAGACCTTATATATTATTATTGTTTTATTTAACTGTCTGACTACTACTGACGTATTCCAGAGATAGTGTAATAATCTCTAACATTACACTGTCAGTTTATTATTTATGCTTAATGTTAATATAAATACTTTTTAAGATGGGTGGAGTGAGAACCAGCCTCAGAATTCCTGCTGAGAAGAGAATATGTCTGGGCGGAGGATCGCATGTAAATTTTGTGCAACTTCCCGACGCCAAGGTAGGTTAAAATGTTATAGTACCTTACAACATTATAATAATTTGTGTATAACTTGTCTGAAAACCTGTATTGCTGTTAATTATCTGTAATTAATATTTCAATGTATTAACCACAATAGTTATCACCTTTTCCCACAAAGAAATCTGTAAAAGTCGGACCGTTGAGTTGTGGAAACAAGCTTACTATCCAAGGGATGGTTTTTGGTGAACTGGTTGAAAATCAGGTATTGACGGCGACGGACACTGCTGTTGCAGCAGGAGTAGCAAACGTAGGAAAACCTGAGAAAGCAAACCAATTAGACGAACAGTTATTTGCCTCTGCGGTTAAAGAAATGCGCTTGATGGTGGAGGCTGCACTTGACCAAGTTAAGGTGACAAGATATGCTTTAGATCATACCACAAAAAACAAAACTTGTTTAGATCATTATTTAACAAATTATTTCTGGTGTCTCAACTTTCACATCTTTAATCTGTTGTTTGCAGATGGAACCAAGAGACCAACCCGTAATATTACTTGGTGGCGGGAGTATTCTAATTGATGACAAACAGAAGCTACAAGGAGCATCCAGTGTCATCAGGCCACCACTCTTCGAGGTACGTTCCTTTCAGTTCACCAATACAACCAGTCAGCCTTCAGAGAATATTAAGGTTGATCAATACGGTTTCCCGAACTCTGGTGCTTCCGAAGTTGACGGGTTTTCACGCGAGATCACGTTTTATTCCCCATGTACTAGCATAGGGAAAACTACAGAAACTGTCGTAATAATAGTAGAAAAAGAAAGATAGTCACTATGCTTATCCCTAGCATAGGAAAACAGAAAGGTATAAAAGAAAAAAATGGATTGAAAACTGATACTGATTCGTTTGTATGAATTTTGTATGAATATCCCCAGCATTATTATGAATGAAACCAAATAAATGTATAATTTACACCATTGCAAACATTCCCCTGGGTTATTCTACTGTACTATATTATAGAGTAGTATAAGCATACCCTCTTATAATTGTCTACGATTACAATTGAGAAACCTATCCACTGTTATTTAAGGTTGCAAATGCCGTGGGAGCAGCTCTTGCACAGGTCGGTACCGAATATAGTAAGATAGTCAAAATGGACAAGAAGGTCAAACAAATAATACAAGAACACACTGCTGGAAAATCTGTATTTGATACTGGAGTGAGAGACGTCATACATATGACTATGAGTGATGTAGCTGATGAGAGCAAGGTGGGAGTGAATAGTGTTATTGTTATTCCAGTCACTGATGTCTAATAGGTTTAATATTGTAACTTTTTATTCAAATCTTTAAAATTATATATTTCTTTGTTTCGAGCTTATGTTTATGTTGATGACACGCTTACTCAATTCCATACATGCTATGGTAGACTCACATGTTATGTTCACAAGTGTATGCGGTTATACAGTAGTCATGGTAATTAATATTTATCAATTTGATGCAGTCATGAAGATACACAAAAATGTGCATTAGTATTTTGTCAAACAGTAAATAGTTGGCGGAAATATGTGATCTCCTGAAATATCTCATATCTTTCAAATTATTCAGCCATTTACCTCTTCCGTAAACTTTGGGAAAGTTTTCAGACAATCCATACATGGTGATGTATCTAAGAATGACATAAAAGGTATGTACTAAACAAAATGCCATCGCCAAACATTGCGTTTTTTTCAAACAGTTTGAAGTCCAAAAAACGAAATAAACCTGGGATAATCTATGTGTTGAGACGTAATTGCAGCTCAAAATGAGCTACGTGCAACATTGTGTGTTAGTGAATAAATAAAACAATAATTGGTGGCTTATCAAATATACAGACGGTATTATTTTGAATCAACAAGGATCTGTCAGTCAGACTGGTGGGGGTGTTTATAAAAGCAGGCAACGACTAGTGTGACTAATGTAGTTAGAGTAGTCAACATATATCATGTCTAGAATAATTCATGGATTACCTTTTTCTGACTTTCTGTAACATTTTGGATCATTTAACGACAAATTAAAACACTGTCACTATCCAATTGTCGAACTTCACTGATTTCCACTGTTACGAAGTGCAACTGAATCAAGAAAAAGACGGCATGTAGAGGAATTGTGTAAAAACTGTATATTTATTACTGACACTAAAATTTGCAATTGAACTTGCACACTCCCCGCCGATGTAAGACAGTGTGTTTGTTTCCTTGGCTCGAGTCACTACATACATTTATTCACAGTATTTACATAAACTGTTTCTAGATGCAGGTTTTAGCGATGCATCGGCAGAACAAGAACAAACCACAATGGGAGACATTGATGGCCAACCACGTATAGATACTTCAACAGGGGAATGGCTATTGTCAGAGTGGGACGTAGATTGTATTGCTCTCGGTGCTTCTATACTCGGCTGCGGTGGAGGGGGTGAGCCTTATTTACAGAAACTGCAATGCAAACTTATACTGCGAGATGGCAAGAAGATACGAATTATAACACCAGAAAGGTATGATTTTCTACTTTGCACAGTCATGCGTCTGTAGACTTGCTGATAATATTATTATTTTTCTAACAATTCTGTGTTTACTTTCAGTATTAACAATACTGGATTCGTTTCTTGTGTTGCCGCTTTGGGTGCACCATTGATTGAAATAGAAAAACCGGCTGTGGACACCATAATAGAACCTGTTGTATGCCTACAACAAATAATCACATCAAACAATATTCTGGATGAAGGTAAGACGTGCCTATTTCCCTTAGATTTGCATAAGCTTTGTAGATGATTGCCAGTACATATATCATATACAAAAATGATCTCAAATGCCATCAGTGTCATATAGAAACTACTTGATTGTTTCTCAGGATGGTATATGGCGGGTGCCACATGTAAAACAGGGTGGCTCACTCTTTTTGAAACACATTACATTCATTCATGTATAGCATGGAGTCCGAAACCTCTTTATTGTACTGAAACGACTATATGGTGTAGTTATTTTGTTTTGTTCTTGTGGATAATTTTGTCATTTCTTTTGTGTCCTTGGAATTGCCCTATTCAAATGTTGTTTTGGGGATCTAAGGTTGGCTATGTTATTTCCACTTTACAGTAAAAGAACGTATTCTTGATTTCTAAAAAGTCGTTTCGTAATTTCGTATTTGGCACATCCAGTTTAAAAGGATAATTAAAAAATATATGTTAATTTCTCCCCATCAACAGCAGTCGACATTGAAGAGGACTTAAATGGACTTAAATATATTGACGACTTTCATGGCCAATTGGTGAAAAACGTGGATACACCAGGATTGAGTGCTATAATGAGTGCTGAGATTGGTGGTGTAAATTCATTGATACCATTATATGTTGGTGGTCTCTTGGATCTCCCAGTTGTGGATGCAGATTTCATGGGCAGAGCTTTTCCGGAGTTCCAGGTTTGTACAAATCTTGTACAAATTCTTAAATTGATTTTATATTAATTGATATTTGCATTCAACAACACACAAGTCCATGTTTACCTTCAACACTCTATATGGCACCTGTAATCTATAATTACTACAGCTACTAGTAACTTCAAGCAGACATATCACTTTAGCCACGTTGTAAATTACAAAGTTTGTGACAATAAAGTAACTTCACAAACATTATCACAAACAGAATCAAAGAAAGCTTAGAAAGAACTCCCGTGTGCTGAGAGTATTGAAGACACATCAAAAATTAATTCAAAATTACTTGTACATGAGATATTGATGGAAAAGCTGAAAACTAATTATGTAAATCAGGTAACTAATATGAACAGAACAGAACAAAAAAATTATGAATTATTATGCTAATTAGAGAATTAATATTAATCAAAATTAATCAGGTCTGTCTATTGTCCTAGAGCATTTATGTACCAAATTTTATTCAAATGTGATGATCAGTAATTGAGATATCAGTGGAACATTATGCAAATTAGGTAATCAATATCCAATTAAAACTAATCAGGTGTCTGCATAATCCTAGAAGATCTATGTAGCAAGTCTCATTGAAATATGATGATTACTACTTGATAAATCAAAAGCTGAAAATTAATTAATTATGCAAATTAGGTAATCAATATGTACTCATATTACCCTAAAAACTATCAGATCTATGCAGTGTTCTATGACATCTATGTACCAAGTGTCATTGAAATATAATGATTACTACTTGAAATATCAAAAGCTGAAAATTAATTAATTATGCAAATTAGCTAATTAATATATACTGATATTACCCTAAAAACTATCAGGTCTGTGCAGTGCCCTATGACATCCATGTACCAAGTTTCATTGAAATGTTATGATTACTACTTGAAATATCAAAAGCTGAAAATTAATTAATTATGCAAATTAGCTAATTAATATATACTGATATTATCCTAAAAACTATCAGCTTTGTGCAGTGTCCTATGACATCTATGTACCAAGTTTTATTGAAATGTGATGATTAGTACTTGAGATATCAGTGGAAAAGCCGAAAATTGATTAATCATTATGCAAATTAGGTAATTAATATTGCATAGATTTTTACCCAAACTATTCAAATCTGCGCATTAGTTTGGAGCATCTATGTGCCAAGTTTCATCTAAATCCAATGAGTGATTCTTTAGATATCAGTGGAAGAGTCATGGAACAGCTAAAAATCAGCTAATTATCATGCAAATTAGGTAATTAATATGCATGGCTTTTTACCAAAACCTAATCAAATCTGCGCATTGGCCCAGAGCATCTATGCACAAAGTTTCATCAAAAACTGATGTATGGTTCTTAAGATATCAGTGGAACAGTCGGACACACATACACACACATACACCCACACACACACATACACCCACACACACACACACACACACACACAGACAGACACAGACACACTAACTGCAAAAACTCCCTTTTTGTGCTTCGTACACGGGAGTCGAAAATCATCCTCTGTTTGAATAATATGAGATTGTCACAAGATAAACCGCAAAATAGTCAAGTAGGCACAGCGTTCCCGAGCAGCAATACGACAATCGTATCGACTGATCCGATCTCGCACTGCACCAGTGTACACGCTGCGGTATTCTAATATTGTACTTATTTTTCCTGATTGTATTAATAATTTAAAGTGAGATAATATCCCCTCGTGTGTGTTTCTGTAACATGCTTCTGCGTTCGATGTTAGTTCTCATTTTCTCGTGATGGTTGCTAGTTAATGTTAAATTGTCCCCTGGTGAATTGGTTTCACGTGTGAGCTCATCTCATCTCAATTGACATTTCTGTTCACGCATTTCTATGTCCAATACGACACATAGTAGTAGCATGTCAATAGGACAACGCGTTTCTAGAATAGCGTGCCGTTTTGAATGAACCCATTCAAATTGTGAACTACATAGGTCAAATAGAACCACTCCATAATGAAATTGTTATGACTTCACGAGTAGTGCATAATAGATTCTTGACAGTGACGGTGATTTGCACAGTGATCACGTGATTACACGGCAATTTTTTGATGGGATGTTTTTTTCATATTATTTGAGAAATAAGCTTTTCAAAAGTATATAACGTGATGGGATTCGAAAAATATGTTACTTGAGAAATATGCAATATAATTACAATAGCAAAAACCTCTATAATTAAATCCTTAAGTGGACAGAATGTAGTGATTTCTCAGAATCCATTCTTTATTACAGTTGTCGAGTTTAATCGTCAAGTTCGTTCCCTGTATATTATCCCTGTATACAGTATATTAAATTGATTTTGCTGCTGTTTTAATATTCTGATTATTTACCATCTTCAGATGTGTATACCCAATATGTTTGATGTGCCAGCGTATCCGTGC